ACTATACAAGCACAATGTATATGAAAGTAATTACAAGCTTGTGTAAGGGGATGTAAACCAACGGGAATATAAGGATGACACGATGTTTTTTATCCCGAGGTTCACGTGCTTGCCAACACACTAGTCCCCGTTGTGTCGATCGCTCACTTGGTGGTTCGGTGGCTAATTGGCATCACCCGCTAAGCCCGCACGTCGGCTACCGCAAGAACCTATCCCGAAAGTGAGGGTAGCTCAATGACACGCTCAACTATAGTTGCTCTTTGTGGCTCCCGCGGGGCAAGCACAATGTCCCTCACAAAGCTCTTCTCCGGAGCACCACACAAGCTTTTTACAGGCTTCGACGGAGACCACCACCAAGCCGTCTAGGAGGTGGCAACCTCTAAGGGTAACAAGCACCACCAGCTTACAACTCAATCACCTAGTGCCACTCGATGCAACCTCATGATGCAATCGCACTAAAATCACTCACTCACTCGATCGGATGAACACTATCAAGCTCAAGTGAGTTAAAGGGCTCCCAAGCACACCTACACAAGCCACCAAGGCTCAAGGGTGCTCAGCTCTTCTTAGCCCTCGGCCAAAGGCTGACCAACACTTCTATTTATAGCCCCACGGGCTAAAATAGTCGTTATCCCTTCACTGGGCGTTTTTTGGGCTAACCGGACGCGCTGGTCGGATCGACCGGACGTACCCTGCCAGCGTACGATTGCGCCACATCGTCCACGTGTCGCTCTGCGTTCAACCAGAGCTGCCCGATCTCAACAGTAACTTCGCGCGTCAACGGTTAAGGTGCGACCGGACGCAGCACAGCGAGGATGATCGGACGCTGCTACGCCTGAGTCCGGTCGTTTCTAGAGAGCTTCCCGAGCCTCTGTTTTGCGACCGAACGCGTCCGCTCCTGCACGACCGGACACAGACCAGCGTCCGATCAGCTCTGCGCCCGCGCGCCAACTTTAGCGTCGCCTACATCATCGTACATCACCCTGACCGGGCGCGGCCACTGTGCGTCCGGTTACTTCTTCACCCAGCATCCGGTCGAAGACCGACGCCTGCACCTTGTTAGGAACACATGACTGGACTCACCAACCAACATCCGGTCGCTGCGTTGCGCAGAGTCTGGTCACTTCTAGTGACCTGTTTTCGTCTCCTTTTCTTCGCCGAGTTGATCCACATCAACTCCAACTTCTTCTCCTTTATAAATATACCAACACCACCAAGTGTACACCACCATATGTATGTGTGTTAGCTTTTCATAAATATTTTTCAAAGGATTAGCCACTCAACTTGTCACGCCACTCGATCCTAGCAATGATGCAAAGTTAGATCACTCGAGTGGCACTAGATGACCGATATGTAAACAAGTTTGCCCCTTTTGATAGTACGGCCATCTATCCTAAATCCAGTCATAAACTTCTCTACGCACCTATGACCGATGGAATGAAATGCCCTATGTTATACCTTTGCCTTGCGCATTCCATTCCATTTCCTACAATGTCGATGCAACACATGCACCAACACGATCAACAATAATATGATCCACTTCATATCATTACGTGACCGTATTGGTTCATCGATCTTGACTTCACTTGCTTTCACCATTGCCTTCGTCCATCGGCGCCAAGTCTTGCTCAAGCTTCACCGCCACGTGGTCCATCGCTCCAAAGCCTCCAACTTGCCCTTCACGCTTGCAACCGGTCCATCAAGCCAAGTCATGTCTCGATCTTCTCCACCTTGATCACATGACTCAATGTCATGTCTCATATGCAATGAGCTCCTTCATCATCACATGTGTTAGCTTTGCAACATCTCCGAGCCATCTTCACCTCCATGGCATATGTTGCTCACACACATGTACTTGTGGACTAATCACCTGTGTATCTCACATAAACACAATTAGTCCACCTAGGATTATCACTAAATTACCAAAACCAAACAAGGACTTTTCACTGTCTAACTGCAACTGCACGTCTCTCTTTTTTTCTTGGTTATCACGCCGCGTGGGTTGGTCCGTCCGGACGGACGGACACCCTCAACCAAGCATTACCGATTCTTGTTTGATTTTCACACAATTTAATCTTCCTGATTAGTGGTCGTAGTATGTATTGGTAACTCATGTAGTCAAATGTTTTCCTCCTAATTTAGAATTTGAGGTGCTAGAATTTTTACAGTGTTACCTAAGACACATGTCAGAGAATGAGAAAAGAAAACGAAGGAAATTAGATGAGTTTATTCAATCACAATAGGGTGGTATACATACTATGTTTATGCAATACCAAGCGTTCGATGATTTCGTATGTACATTTGTCATGAATACGCAGTAGTTGCCTATAGCTGCCCAATTGGGACCATCTTCACTATTTTATTTTATTTTTTCCTGGAGAGTATAATTCAAGATTTATTATTATTCTATCATGTTAATGTTCTTTTAATAGATTTGATTAAATTTAAAATTGTATCACTCTTTAAAAAAGTGAGAACTGTACTTATTCGAATTGGAGGGAATATTCTGATGAGGTGTAACAAGTTTTAAGAATTAGGAGTTGTAGTACCTACGCACGAGATTTTCTTCTCTCCAAAAATGTGAAAGAGGCCGGATTATTAGGGCACAAATCAGCTGCCTACTTTAACCCGTAAATAAATCCGCAAGTCTTTGGAATGCAAATCAAATCTACATATTATATTCAATCTCGTGATCGTGACTGCTTGTCCAGCCTCCACCATGGCGACCCTCCTTGCCAAGTTCTTGGACGCGGGCCAATGGGAAGCCGAGGACCTAGTCGGCCGACTGGGCTTGGTGGCGCACGTCGCCTTCCTCCACGCTGGCCTCGTGCCCTACGGCGCCGAGCCACCGTCCGGCGGCCACCTCCTGAAGCGACCCGGCTCGACGTTCCTGTGCCGCTGGTACACGGCGCCGGAGCTGGCGCGCCGCGACGACGCGGAGGCCGCCGTGCTGATGCTGTGCGCCGAATCGTGGGGGCGGCGCGACGTGGCGCTCCTCATGTACCTCACCGTGGACCGCCGCGACGATAACGTGCGGCGGCGCACGTACCGGCAGAGCGTGGACGCGGCGGCCTTGGCGCCGCTGCTGTCCCGGCGCCTGGACGAGGCGGAGCCCTGGGGCTCGCGGCTGTGCAGGGCGCTCGCCGACGGCCCCTGCTGGGGCCTTCGCGTGGAGCTCTGCCGCGGGAACGTGCTGCCACTGACGGGCTTCATGTCCCTGCCACCGAACGTCATGGTGCGGGTCCTGGAGCGGCTCGCCGCCGGCGGGGACCTGGCGAGGGTGCAGTGCACGAGCAGGCTACTGAGCCGCCTAGTGGCCGAGCACGACGTCGAGCTGTGGAAACCAGTGTACGAGGCCAGCGTCGTCGTCAGCGAGGACAGGCCCTGGTGGAAGAATGTCGCGCTCCAACAGCTCCGGAGCTCCGGCGTTGAGAGGGCGGTGGTCGGCTGGAAGTGGAGGTACGTGCTGGCCTGGCACTGGCAGCGTATTCTCCGGACCAGCAGGTGTTGGTGCTTTGTCGACGTGGACGACGATCCCGATCTCATTGCGCCGTCAGCACTGGTGGCTCCGGCTCCATTCACAGAAGACGACGGCGGCGGCGGTGGCGACGATGACAACGTCGTTGCTCCGCCGCCTGCCAGCATGTTACCTGATGATGATGGTCTGCCGGAGGAGCGGCGGGAGAGGATTGCGAGGGGAAAGAGCGCGTCGGCGGGGCACAGACGCAAGGTGGCACGGAACGATGACTACAAGAAGCTGAAGAAGCGACATGCTGCTGGAGCGATCCACTCGCCGTCGTCTCGCTACCGATGGAATCATCGGTGATGCGATGCAATTGCAAGCAACTGCGTATATACATACTTTATATGAACAGCTAGCACAACCATGCATGCGCTACTTTTAATTTGCTTCCAGAATTTCAGCTCTGGTTTTATAGTATTGATCAAGGATCGGTGCTCGTTTCCTTATAACAGCATAGCAAATAATATATACTTGTTTTTTTAGAACATATATAGGTAATAATTGATGTGAGATAAACGCTTACAGTAGCTCCAGCAAGGCTCATACTAAGGCCACAATTTGAGGGTTTGGGCACAAAACACACTTCCAACAGGACTGGGGCGAAGCTAGCCCTGTTTTATGCTGTCACGCGGATACGAACGAATATCACCGATATTACATTTGTTTTCATATTTCTGGTTGGATTCGGATTCGAATACGGATTGTGTCAGCCATGCCAGATAGGATACGATTCGATGTCGACATCATAAATATGCAATTTAAGTATTCGGATACAGATACGGTATCGGATGTTGAATATTCGGACTCGGACACAGACAGATGTGAACCCCTCTAAACGGATTCGGTCTCGGATACGGTCGGAAAATATCCATTTCATCCCTACTGTCACAGGACAACAATGATTGATGTTCTCTAATTTCCATTGCAAATTGATGTTCATAAGTGTAGGTGAGCTATGTAGTAGCAGAGGTGGTATGGATGCATTTTTGGGCTGGATCCGCCCCAACAGCAGGATCCCTATTCAAGCCATATCATGGCGTAGTTTTTTTCCCCCCGCTAGATCACCTTTCCTTCATCTCTCATCTCTTACATATATCTTGTATTGTAAACCTCATTTCAACTTCATAAAAAAAATCCGAACTTTTGTCATTCAACCACGTACACAATTCAACAACATTTCAAATCCAGGGTTTAGAATTCTAATTTAAAACTCAAACACAATACAGGTCCATATGCACCAAATATAATTCCACATAATATGAGAAAACATAGATAGATAACTTTATTGCCCATGGATTTGCCACATATGCTCAACAAGTCATCATGAAGTTGTTCATGTGCCTCACGGGCAAGGTGTTCAAACAGCAAAAACCAGTACCCCACTTTCAGACAGTGGAAACCTATTCCACAAGGCTACAATGGTTGGGTATCATGCACCAGATTGTGGGAGCAAAAGAAATTTCCCCAGTTTCTGCGCTTATTTTCTCCTGATCTTAACCTTCAGAGTCCATTGGAGCTTACCTTCTGGGCGCGGTATGTCCTGTAGTAACCGGAGGGGCAACTCAAATTCACCAAGCGACGCTAAAGGTGACTGCAGGTGCAGATTCTCTGGATGGATGGTGATGTTGAGTTGCCTTGCCACCTGTAGGAGAAGTGGACAAGTCATGGGAAAACTGAAATTTAGGGATGCTACATGGGGTATTTAGAGCTTCAAAGGCACCTCGGAAACAATTTCATCTTTTGTTACAGGAGTACGCAGCTCATTTCCAGTCGAGATGAACCTCCTCAACACCTACCAAATATCAGAGATGATCAATACTTCCATGGCTGAACTTGATCAATAAATGAAACATGCAAATGCACACTACACGAAAACATGAAAACAAATAGTGCAGTAAACTTTTCACTTTTAGTGGTAGCAGACTAACCAAGAGTGCATTATCTAACCTCTTTGCTGCTGTTTGGTACTGCTTCAGTCTTTCTTCTTGTAGCTGTTGAAATGGTAATTGACAAGTAAATCAGTACCATCAGAAAAGAAGAAGAGGAAGTATATGGCAGGGGAAAGCACACGATATCAGCCTTCAAGCAGAACCCGAAATTTTTTGATCTAAACTTATCCAGAATTTGATCTTGCAGTTAAGAAAACGTTGATTATAGTAAGCAAAGGGGCTTTTATATAACACAGAAGTAAGCACATTGCATTTTTAAGAGCCAGAAAGAAGCTGTTGAACTTATATTAGGCAGCAGAAGAACAGTGTGGCTATATTTTTCTAAAACAATAAATAAATTATGCAGCATGATAAAAACAGAGACTAGCAGGTACAGAGAAAAGAGTAAATTTCCAAGTCAACCGTTCAGTCTTTTATATATCAGATGAGTTAGACAAGAATGAAAACAAATTGAGCCTATGATCATAGCCATTCTTCTCAATACAGAAGACAACTCCAAAAATATTACTTTCAGAAAACAGAAACCCACAAATTTTCATGCTTTTTTTTTTAAAAAAAAGGGCACATTTCTCTGCTGACTTCTATAATGAAGACCTGTGAGAGCCCAGTATCTTAATGCAGTAGACAGCATGAAAACAAACTTAGACTAAAACAGAAAAAATCGACTTGAGGTATGTTAACAGCTTAACTGGTAACTGGTCTTGGACAGAAATGAACAGTTGATGCAATCAAGTTTTCTACTATGGACTTTCATCAATAAAGCAGGTCAGAAAATATTTCTAACTTGTGAGCTGTACAACCTACCAGGGCATCATCATCTTCCTTTGTGACTTGTTTCACCACGACCTCCTCTTCACGTTGATAGAGCTGATTAAAAAACAATGCCTTGTGAGGTTGCAGATGGAAGGGGCTGTAAGTAGCAAACTTGGGTAGGAACTAGGAATGGAGTAGAGGCACCAGTGCACCACAATACTTTCAATGTGTTCAATACGGATTGTACCAAGTATCACCAAATTATTAGGCTACTTATCAGATTGCCATAGGAAACAGCTGTGTCAGGGAATGTTGCATGAACAGTCTGTGCATAGTTCAATGTGCAATACATATTCAGGCAGCGATACATTTTTTCCCCTGGTCAAACACTGAACCTCATGGTTTGCAGCAACTACCCACACTAACAGACATGCTTACGGTAGCATTTTAAAGGACTAATAAGGAACAGAGCTTACCTTGCGCTGCTCTCGGACGAGTATGGCGAATTTGTCCAGGTTCGGGACAGCGAGCATCTTGGGCATAAGGTGGTTGCGGAAGTGGCCAGGCGCCACCTAGACCACATCCCCTGTTTTCCCCAGCTTATCAATCGTCTGCAGGATAAAACAAGAAGGGATGAAAGACAGAAAATAATTTATTTCCCCAGACATCTAATCATGTATCACAAGAGGAATCAGGAATTAACAATGGGGTCATATTTTCTCATTGTAAAGCGTTGATCAAATAAACGCACAGTTATAAAAAACAAATTACGAAATGGCCCAAAAACAAACTAAGATTTTTCTTTTGTAGTGAGTTGCAACCATCCCAGTAAAGCATAACTGAAACTAGATCAGAAAATCTCGCTACAATCGAACCAAAGCGACCGCTTGGCTAACACACCGTAGTATCTTCTTAATACGAATCCGCAGGAGGAACCTCGGGCGGGTACGATATCCACGTCGCCCATTAACCCATAAACCGTTGGATCCAGATTCCAGCAAGCATGTGACATCACCGTTCGATCGGGGTTTGGCGCGGGTCTCGCCCTTTAAGCCGGTAACCCAAGCGGACGAGAATCCTCGCGAAACTACTGGTTCCTTCGCCTCCCCACTGCCATAACCCTCCGCCCTTCGCGTACTGTGCCTGCCTGCGACGCGCCGACGCTCACTGCCCTTCGTCGTCCGTCTGCCGCAGGCAGCCTCGTCCATCCGACTCCAAATTCCATCCTCGTGCTGCGGCCTCTTTCCCCACCACGCGCAGCCTCCACTACTGTGGATGTGCACGGCTGGGGGGACCCGTAGCACAGGGCCAGCGTGTGGCAGAGGCACTAATGCGCTACTGCTCTCTGTCTCTTGATTACTGTACTTGGGCGCTGTTTGGTGGTACCGTGGTACGATTGATAGCGCAAACGTAATGGAATTAAAGCTGTCACTGCTACGGCAGCATACAGGATGTGATCTGATTTCATTTCCATTTGCGTTACATTTCTACTAACCAAACAGCACGTTAACCTGATACTTTCATTTGGTTACAAACAGCAAGTGATGCCTCTCTTATGATTTATTTATCAAGATTTAACTTGATAAAGTAAGGAGTGTGGACCACTTACCTAGCATTTGCTCTTTCAATAATGAACTTATGAATATTAGTTATTCGATCTCTATATTCTCATTCTGATATTGAGTTCATGTCATGGTCATGCATATATGATATAACTGTATACTGAACTCTATATTTATGTACCTTGTATTGGCTCTAGTATTTCTTTATAGATTATATTGTGTTTCTTTTTTAATTTAGAGTAAAGTGCACCAGCGGTCCCTAAACTTGCGCTGCTGTGTCATTCCGGTCCCTAAAATTGTAAAACGGCCATTTAGGTACCCAATCACTGCTATCGTCTCGTTTTAGTCCAACCGAAGCCGACTCGTGCTGTAATCTTGCAAAAAAACCCCAATAAAATGTGAGGGCCATTAGAAGGGTCTGGAGTCGCGACTTAGGTGCGCCCGCCTCCCTTTCTCCGTCACCGCAGTCGACGGCGACAGCCTTGGGCAATCGAGCGGAGGTGAAGTGGAGACCACGACGACGATCCACCGTGCGGAGGCTGCAACGGATAGGATACGGCAGTGGACCACTCCATCGTCGAGTTGGTGAACCATGGTGGCTAAGTTGCGGCAAAAAGGGGAGGCCGCGCCGGAGTACGGTAAGTTGCCGACCTCCACCGTGTAGATTGTAGGGTTCATCGGTTGTTGGTGTATGGGTTCATAGGATGTCTGCGTCTGCGTGGGTGGGTCACCCTGGACCGCTGCCGCGACGCGCGCCTACAGGGCGGGGGCGCGCTCCGCGCCGCGCGGTGCCTCCGCGCCGACGTCGAGAGCTTCGGCGGGGCACCGGTTCCCGCTTTGCTTCAATCGCGCTGCCGCTCTGCGTGGACAGCAAGATGAGCTAGCTCGTCCGGATTTGGTTCGGGCTAATTTCCCCTCCCAGCAAGCTGTGTATGCTGCTTGCTCCCTGTGCTACTTGCTTCGCCGCGCGGCCTCGCTCTAGTTACTTATAAGCGTGGATACGGAGGCACGGAGGGTTACCCGTTGGCATTGCTGCGGTCTTCGCGTCTGCGACCATTCAGCTCCTTCGATTGGGATTCCAGCAACCCCTTTGATTTCCCCCTTCCCAATGTCTTTGCTTGTCAAATTTGCATCTCCCCCTTCCCCTTTAGGCTTAGCCCGTCAGGTCCAGCTGTTTCCTTGCTTGCGCTTCTTTGAATGTTCTACTGGTGCTCATTTTAGAGCTTTGGCAGTGGTTATTTATTTATTACATATACATACGTACATGATACGTCTGGTACTTGTCTTCATGTTAGCTCGGATGATCAGTAGTACTATGTTTCTTTTCCATATAGAAATAGAAATAGAAAATTTTGGGGCAATTTTTCCATACGTACATGATACTGTTTGGGGCAATTTTTCGAGATTTTCTCTTCTGCTGATCAAAAGTTCAATTTTGCGCATAATGTAGGTAATGGTAATGATGAGTTCAGTATCGAGTTTCACCATGGAGGGTTCTTTGTTGGGTCTGGTGGACTAAAAAGCTATGTGGATGAGAAAGTGAACTGGTTCGATGGGATTAAGACTGAGACATGGTCAACACCGTGGTTTGAGGATTTTGTCGAGCAGTTAGGATATGAGATGAGCCCAAGGTTCAAGTTTTACTGGTTGTTGCCTCAGAAGACAATAGCTGATGGACTAAGGCTGATAGAATCTGACCATGATACTATTGTGATGGCCAATATGGTGAACAGGTTCAAGACTTTGATAGTTTATCTTGATAAAGATGGATTTGAAGACAATACATGGGATGACATAGTGCTGAATCCCGTGGCAGAACTACCTAAAGTCTTGAGCCCATGGAAGGTTAATTATCAGGACCCAAAACCTGGTGAGAAGTTGCATGTGTTTTATACTGATCTGGATAAAGGAGTAGTTGGGCAGAGTGGAGGTCAGGGAACATCTGAATCAACATCTAAAGATGAGGACTTCATAGATAGTGATAATGAGGTTTTAGATGGTGATGAAGAATTATTTGAGGATTTAGTGTACAGTGCTGTGGATCAGAAGAAAAGTAATAAAAAGGCAAGAGGAAGCCAGCTGAAGGGGGTGGAGATAGTTGTGGCAGCTGTTCCTGATGATGAAGACACTGAAGAAGAAGAGTTAGACCTTCCTGGTTCAGATGGTGAGGGAGAAGACAGGCTTAGGATGAAATGTTGGACTGAAGCTGATGTCAACCAGCCAAGTTTTTCTGTTGGCCTTATGTTCCCAACAGTAGAGAAGCTGAGGGAGGCAATAACAGAATACAGTGTGAGGAACAGAGTGGAAATTAAGATGCCAAGAAATGACCAGAGGAGATTAAGAGCCCATTGTGTTGCTGGCTGCCCATGAAACCTCTATGCTTCACTTGATAGCAGGGTCAAATCATTTGTAGTGAAGACATACTATGGGGGTCACAATTGCCATAAAGAGTGGGTGCTGAAGAGATGCACTTCCAAGTGGCTTGCAAGTAAGTACATTGATTCATTTCGAGCAAATGATAAGATGAGCATCAGCAGCTTTGGTAGGACAGTGCAAAAAGGCCTCAACTTGACACCTTCCAGGAGTAAATTAGCAAGAGCTAGAAGGCTCATCATGAAAGCAATCCATGGTGATGAGGTGAACCAGTACAACTTGTTATGGGATTATGGACAGGAATTGAGGAGAAGCAACCCTGGCTCTACATTTTATCTGAATATTTGTGAGAGCAGATTTAGTACATGCTACATGTCACTAGATGCATGTAAGCGGGGTTTCATGGCTGGTTGCAGGCCCATTATTTGCCTAGATGGATGCCACATCAAAACCAAGTATGGGGGGCAGCTACTAACAGCTGTGGGCATGGATCCAAATGATTGCATATATCCAATAGCATTGGCAGTTGTTGAGGTGGAATCTCTTGCATCTTGGAAGTGGTTTCTACAGACTCTCAAAGATGATCTGAAAATTGATAATACCCAACCATGGACAATCATGACTGATAAGCAAAAGGGTCTAATCCCAGCTGTGCAGCAGGTGTTCCCTGACTCAGAACATAGGTTCTGTGTCAGGCATCTTTACTCAAATTTCCAAGAGAAGTTTAAGGGTGAGGTGCTAAAGAATCAACTATGGTCATGTGCAAGGTCATCTTCTGTGCAGCAGTGGAATATGAACATGGAAAAAATGAAAGCATTAGATGAGGCTGCCTTCAAGTGGCTTGAAAAGATGCCTCCCAATACTTGGGTTAGAGCTTTTTTCTCAGAATTTCCTAAATGTGACATATTATTGAACAATAATTGTGAGGTGTTCAACAATTACATCTTAGATGCAAGAGAGCTTCCAATTCTTAGCATGTTTGAGATGATCAAGACTCAGTTGATGACAAGACATTACAACAAATAGAAAGAATTAGCAAATCAAATGGAAGAAACCTTCTGTCCAAAGATAAGAAAGAAGCTGTCAAAGAATGCAGAGTGGGCAAATATGTGTTTTGCTATACCTTCTGATCAAGGAGTGTTCCAAGTAAAGGTGAGGGATTACAGCCACATAGTAGATATCAATTCAAAAACATGTGATTGCAGGAGGTGGCAATTAACTGGAGTTCCTTGTAGCCATGCTATTACTTGTTTGAGGCATGAGAGGATAAAACCTGAATCAGTGTTGCCAGCATGCTACTCAGTGCAGACATTCAATACTGCATATGGATTCAACATATGGCCTTGCAGAGATCAGAGGCAGTGGGAAAAGGTTGATGGTCCACAGGTGCAGCCACCTTTGTATGAGAAAAAAGTTGGTAGGCCTCCAAAATCCAGGAAGAAGCAACCACATGAAGTTCAAGGCAAGAATGGGCCCAAATTTTCTAAGCATGGAGTTACAGTCCACTGCAGTTACTGTACAGAGGCTAATCATAATAGTGCTGGATGCAAGCTCAAGAAAATGGGATTTACTTCTGCAGAAGCCAAAGCACTGGTTGCAAATACACA